TAGAAAATAATATTTCTCAGTCCCATAGAATTCAATTTGATAACTTTTAATTTTTTTTATTTTTGATGTTCTTTAGATCTGGGGGTGGTTGGAGGAAAACAATTTTGGGCCACTCTAATGTACATACATTTACATTATTTTCGCTAATATACAAATAAGTCTCGCAACGGAAAAATTCAATTTTAGACAAATGACGAGTGTTGAGTCTCGACGAGTACAAATGTTGTTGTTTTTTCTGCTGCAATCGAAAGCGCTGTTATGAGTTGTTGCACTTATGTACACTTGCGATTGTTGCTTTAGTGTGAGTCAGCAATCGATGCAACTCAACGCGTAGTGAGTATGTACATACATTAATACAGTAACGGCCATAAAAGAATCGCCGCTGATTAAAGGCGATATGATTTTGCTGTGTCCTAAATAAATAAAGTTTTGCAAATTTTTTTATTAAATATAAAAACATTGTTCCTGCAAAAAGCCCACCAAACTTAGACTATGCAAATTTTCATGAAAATATTGTTGTTTTTATTACATACATATGTATTTTAGAATAAATTTGTATATAGAGTTTTGTAGTACAACTAAGTCCAAGTTTGAAACAGCTTATGTTGTTTTCTTTTCTATAAAAAATGTTGCCTTTTGATTGCCGTCTTCTTGTATTTGTGCAAGGCAACATTTTTCGGAAGACTTGCCGTTGATTTCTGAAAATTTTTTTCGATGAAGGCATTACTCATTTTCTTTTATATAACATACACTTGTGGTCAGTGTTGTGAATTCAACAAACTTTAACCCCAAAAATTTCAAACTTTTTATACAGAATTTCAAGAAAAAAAAAATGCTTAATATTAAAACATTAAAGAAGTATAGCAAAAACTGGCCGAAACAAAGTGAGTCTATTATTTCTGCCTCCAGTGTATATAATAAAATTCTTAAAATTTTAATGCAATTTGCTTAATTTTCCCAAATTTTACACAAATCTTGTAACTCTGATTTTTTTGGGTTTTATTATAGGTTATCTACATATACATATATATATTTTTTTAAATATGAAAAGATGCATTTATTTATTGCGGCGCAATTTTGTCGCCATTAAAAAGGTCCCGGTTGTGGCCGGTACTGTACATTTACTCAGCGTAGCGGCAGTGATTTTACATATAATTTTATATAGTATCCTTTGCTTTGTTTTTACGTTTTGTTTTACGTCTGACTACGCAGATAATAATCATAAGCGCCCTGTACTCAGTTATCCAGCGGTAGCCGCGCTGAAAAACAAAGTTCAGATTTTGATGAGATTTCTGAAATGGATATGCAGATTTTATTCCCCTATTGCTGGCTGCAGAGATTTACAATTCGGAAATTTTCGTTTGCATTGCAGCCAAATTGATGCGTAGATGTGACTGCCGTCAGATTTTCAACACCTCTTACAATATAACTTTTTTTTTGTTATTATTTGTGATTGTTGTTGCTTTTATGCCAACTTTTTTTCTTTGGTTTTGTTTTGTTTGTTGTCTGTTTGATGGATTTTCATACAATCCGACTGTCAGCGGCAGTGCCGGTTGACAATCAGCGTTAGTCCTCACCAAACCAAGTCGACGCGTGGCTCTAGTTTCCTCATGTGTAAACACACCCATACACATACTCAGGCAGTGAAGGAAGGTTGCACATTGGTAGATATTTACATAATAAAATCGCAATAAAAGTTAAGTTGTGTAAAGCTGAAAAAAAAACTGGAAAGGCAAGTGGCATTACCTCTGAGCGTTCACACACACACATACAAATATGTCTATTCACTTATACACATGTAGGTATGTATATGTACATATATGCCATTTATCACATTCAGGACTTCATTTGAGTACTTTTGTCCTTCCGCTGCTCGTACTGTGACTGTGGCGGCTGTGGCTGTGGCTGCGGCTGCGGCTGCAACACAAATCGGATTAAGAAATTCCGTTCACTTTCACATAATTGAATGTTTTTGTTGTCGCAATGAGGACCAAATTTAAAATTTTTCACTTGACTTATTTTTGTTGTCATACAATTTGCACACTTCATTGTCATTGTTGTTATTTGCTTGATGGCATTGCATGTATGTATGCATTTATGTGCATGTGAATGTATGTATGTATATTCGTAAAAGGCTGAGCTGGGGGGGGTAAGCTTAAGTCACCTCGTACTTTAAGCTTTGATGGAACTACCACTTTGAATCACAGCGAACGCGCTACCCCAAAAAAGTCGTTTTCAAACCGCCCGGTTCTAGGAAGCATCATTACCTTACAAAGAGAAGTGAGTAAGCTCGCAAGTCGACTGCCACATGACATATTCGATTATTGTAACAGCCCTGATCTGGGTGTCGTGTTAAAGAATGCCCATGTAAGCGAACTTGCGAAGTCGGGATAGATAGTCGGGAAAGTGCTTGCGAAGATACCACTGCTTTTTAGAGAGAGGACTTGGTAATTAGTTTCATAATGAAGGACATGGCTTTTAATGATAAAGAGTTCAGTTGCACGCCTCTCAACACCTCGCTTATACCTACTACTTGCAAAGGCGAAGAAGAAGCAGTGATGCCATTTTAGCGATTTTCCCACTAGATCTAGCTGTGTTATTTTCTTCGTAGTGCGAAAAATTAGAATTCGATGAGTAGCGGGAGTTTTAGCGTTTATTTAGGAGATTTTAGCTAGATTTTAACAAGCGAGTGAGTGGTGCTAGTTAGGAAGTCCTCTTGTCTTCGAAATAAGTCCGAGAGCTATTGGGATTATACCAGTATTCAGGCTTAAGGTCTGACTATGGCAACTTAATGTAACTTATAGGCTTTTATTAGACATTCTCTTAAATGGATGTTGCTTGTAATTGAACAGCGGAAACTTAACGTAACGTAATGCCATGTCGAATCTGTTTCATTTGGATTTTCCAAGTTCTCGTTCCGTTAAGTTACGTTAAGTTGCCTTAATTAGGCTTTCAGTGTACCTAAAATTTCTTCAGCAAAAACAATACTAGTTAAGCGCATACAAATACAACGATTGCGCTGGCTTGGGCATGCTGCACGCATGCATGACGAGAAAAGATCCTTCGACTCGGCCACCCATCGGTGGACTACGAAAGTATCGACGCCTACGAACACAATGGAAGAACTAGGTGAAGTATGATCTGTCTGCACTCGGGATGTACAACTGCGCAACCTCACAAAGGAGGGAGGCAATTGGCGAAGTTTTCTTGCTCTCGGAGGACTTTCAGAACACTTACTTAAGCATAAACATAATTTTTGATACATATACATATGTACATAAGCACTTTCAAATGTAGATATTGAAACCGATGCGGTGGTAGCCCTTATTTAGAAATATTTCCATCACTTCTTCTAGCTTTACATCAATGTCGTAATTTATATTAATGAGAGCGAATCTGTTTAATCTTTCCTGGAGCAATGTTTCTCAGAGCCATGTTTTGATTCGACGCAAAGGAGAGAGGCCTTCCAGCGGCAGCATTCATGGCTGGGAATGTGCAAAGTATATACGAAATATAACTCTGTGACAATTTGTGAGTATCTGGATGGAAGAGAGTATCATATCAATTTTCAAGCTTCCATTGCCGCTACCAAAGCGCTTACTCCGCTGTCAGCCTCAATTTTTTTTTTGTCCTTGATTCCCTACCAAAAAGTTCTATGACTCAGTTTGATAAGTTCCGCTGAAACAACCGCTGTAGTCGGGTGTTTATGGATCCGTACTAGGACTTGAGTTCGAGCTCTGGTCCAAGTAATATCTAAAAATAGGAAATGGTCGCCCCTTGGCAGTCCTTTGGTAAAACTCCGAGTGCTTTTTTTTCCTTGAAAAGCTTCTCATAAAATCCATTTGCAGTTCGGAGGTGGCGTAAAATTTTATAATAAATAAATAAATTTAAGGTGTGCAAAAATACACGCGGTTCAGGATAAGAAAAACCCGATTTTTTTTTAATTATACATATGGGCATGGGGCATCAAGCAACGAGAGATGATGCTTTTCTGCATAATAAGAGTAGAGTGGTAGTACGACAACAAACCAAATAGTAAAGAATACAGTTTAAAGTAAATTTCATTTTTTCAAAGCCCTAAGAAAAGCAAACATGTATTAATTTTCCCAAAGACTTGGTACTTTGCACAGCCCTTGTAATTTTTGAAAGATAAGTTTTGAAATATTAAGAATTTTTAGTATGATTACTACTTATTTTATAAGTTCCAATCCGAATTAATGTACGAATATTTTAATTAAAGAACGGCTAGAAAAAAGCCACGAAGGTGGGTCTTAAGTTCTGGGGCTATGGCATTTACTTAAATGCAAAATCTAGGCTTAAAAATGTTAGCTGGTCACACTGGTGAGGAAAAGTTATGAACTCATGAAATTTGAATGCGTTTTTCTATTACCAAAAATATGTAATATCAATGGCATCGAGGAATGATTACCAGCTGTTTAGAGTTGTTTTGCAACTAATTTTCCTTTGGTTGGGTAGTATTTATCCACATGTGCATATAGGCCCGCCTAGAGGGGAGGGGGCCGGGGGTGTTTCCAACAGGGCCCGAATTGTCAAAGGGGCCTGCATTTTTCTAGAAATTACGTTGGAAAATAAAAATTTTAATATTTTTCAAACTTGATTAATTTTATTATTTAATATCATAGCATTTCACCTGTTTAGACGAAGCTTTTTTTACGAAAGAATTATACTCCACTCACTACGAAAGAAACCACTGTACAAGTACGTAGTGAAAACGTTGAAAATTTGTTGAAAAAGGAAAAAATTATTTTGTGGGTGGGCCGATCACATACTTACCAGGGTCTGGATTTTCTATCGACGGTCCTGTATGTATGTAGCAGAAATAATAAGAAATCCTAACCATTTCTATATGCTACTCATTTAAAGGTATAATTCAGATGCAAATCGTCCAATCTTTTCATAACTCTAATAAAACATCATTTTAATTTTTATGATACTTCTACATATTTTATTTTTTTTTTAATTTGTAATCATAATTTTGATTTTCTTTGGCTTCGTTTTGAAATAATAGCAGTCATTAAATTTACTCATATTTTGGTTTTTGTTTGCCAGCCTAAGAATAAAAGCAGAATTAGCAGTGCTAATAGTAAACTTAAGATTTTACATACATACATATCTACATAAATACATGATAATTTCTTAATTTTACATGCAGACATACGTTCATACATAGTATATTCAATTACTATATTCACCATTCATTTAAATTCATTGCACACTTGTCTATACCTACAATTAATTAACTATTTATGTATGTATTAGAAACTTTGAAATTTCAAGTCATGGTTTTCATGGAAATACAAAAAATAAAAAATAAAATAAAAATTTATTGTGAAAATTTACAATTGCAGCATTTATGTGGTGTGTGTGTGTGTGTGTAAAACAATAATTCACCACATTTTTAAGCCTTTAAAGCCAAAAAACTTCCACTATGCAGTTTTGGTTTGATAAGTTATTCAATAGCAATAACAATTCGAAACTCCAACAGTGATAATGGCTCATAAATCATTGTTTCGTTTCGGTTGCGCTGCAACGTGGCCACTTCTTTTCAAAAATCATAACAGATTTCTCATTAGTTTTTACAATTCCTTCCCACATTTCTACCTTATTTGTCCAGCCTTGTCTCGTTGTGCTCCTCACGCTTTTGATATTTTCGCATTTCTAATATTTGCAACAGTCGTTGTTGCATCTTACAATTTTATGAATGCGAATGACTAAGGTGATGTGCACCCAGTGCCGGATGAAAGTAAGGTCCATAGGGCGGATAGGGCACAGCGTGTGAATAAAGCAAGCTGCTGGCATAGGCGCCGGGTCCGAAACCACCTGCCCCCGGTGGTGGAGGAATCGTCGGACTATTCACATCCATGCCGGGATTTTGTTTCTTCCATTTGGTGCGTCGATTTTGAAACCAGATTTTGACCTGAAAGTGAGGAATGGCATTGAGATTTTAGAATTTTGAAAAGAATATGAATATGCAAAGATTTTTTTTGTTAAAAAAATAAAAATAAAAAATATTTTTCGAACTCGTCCATTGCGACTGGTAGAGCCACGCAAGCAAAATGATATATGCAAGTACTAATATCGCCATTTAGAACGCATTCAAGGCTTTCTGTCAAAAATCTTTTCATCATGCAAGTTCGCAAAGGGGCTTCTTTAGTAAGACTTTCGTGCCAGAATAAACAAAATCTTTGAAACTGTCTCTCAATTCTCTTACAAATAACTTGCAACTAACTTAGCCAGAAATGCCCTGTAAATCTAACGGAATCGAAAGTAGAGTGTGTAAAAAAATTGCATTACAATGAGTACAACTTTTTCTCATATTCAAGCAAGACATTAATAAAACCTTCATACTACCTATGCCTGGATTATCAAGTTTGTACTCCTTTATCCGAAAAGTCTTTGTCACGGAAATTATACTGCCACCGGAAGATGAATTTTTATAAAAAGCTTTTAATCATCAAAATTATTGCGCGGAAGATGGGCAATTAAATAATAGCTACTCAGCGTACAAATTTTAGGATCTTGAGCCGTATTTCCTGCAATTTTACATCGATATTACATCGACTGAATATTATTCTACTAAGACTCAATAGGGATGGGGTAAAGCCTCGCGCGTACCCGGTGATATAGAGATTATCGTATCTGGGAGGTGCACAATAGTGAGAAGCGTGAGGCTTGAAAGAAAACTAGGGGAATTGAGCTCGTTAGCAAAAAGCTGCGGCCTCAGCGTAAATCCTTCGAACGACTTTACTCGATTTTTTCCGTTTTTTGAAGCAGTAGAACTTTTTTGAGTTGATTTTCAATTACGACCTAAAACTCCGCTTGGTGGCGATGTAATTGAACTATTTGCAAAAATATTTATAATCCGATTTGGCTCATAATCGGAAACTTTTTTCCTTAAGTTCGAAGACAATTTTTCTGGACAAAAATAAACTAGCTAGATGACGCTGAAGTTGTTATTTGAGATAGTACTATGTGCAGTGGGATTTTATTTTATTAAGAATTTGTATATTTTTAAACACTTTGAAATTTCAAAGATATGATTACTTCAAAAAATTACTTTAAAAATTCAGTGCTTTGTGGAATAAAAGTATGGGCACCAAATGAAAGAGAATATTCTTTGAAATTTAAAAATGTGTTTCATAAGGAAAAAGAGATAATGAAAAAGCCCTTTTAAATATTTTTATTTTTTAAGCTAAAGCTTACAATCCAGCTCCCAAGAAATATTTTTGATTATTTATATCTGAAAACACACTTTGCTTTTGCTATAAATTTTCTTGAAGAAATAAATATACGAGCATTTTTATCTTGAGAGCTGCAAGCCGATTCAGGAAACTTTGATAACAGAAAATTTCTTTTCCATTTCTTGTGCGTCATTGTATTTGAATATTTAATTTTTCTTGAGAGCTGGAAACAACTCTTAATAAATAAGGAAGAACGAAATTCGAGGATGTGCTCGTGTATAAATGTCTTTAATATTTAATTTTTTCAAAAACAAGTATTACAAATTTTTAAGGGTGTTCAAGGATAAAATTTTCAATTGACATTTTCAAGACTTTCCCGTACTTGTGCACCAAAGAAATTAACCGTAATCAATTCCATATTGAGTTAGTCATACCACTAAAGGTTCAAAGTCATTTTAAAACTATCATGACGTCCATCAAAATATTTCGAATAAATTTAAGAATTTCGCTGGACCGATTTGAAAACCTCCATACCTCCAAAAATGGAGTTTTTTATTAATAAAAATAGTTTCTTCAAGAACTTTTTGAAAAAAATCCCCTCAGATGACAGAACAGATTAAGCTTAAAAAATTTGTATAAAAATATTTAAAAATCTTTTCAACGTTGAGATTTTTGATGCTGTTTTTCACTTTTTTCAAAGATTGATTTACCATAAACCTTAATAACTATTCTAATTTAGATTTATAGGGTCTCAGTAGAAAGGTATTTTTTCACTCTTTTTCATTCTGTGCAAAAAAAAGTTATATTTGTGTAGTCTCAAATGGCCCTTTTAAGAACATTTAGGCCCATAATACAACGAGTGTATACTATGTACATAATAACTTATAACTTTGCAAATATGTACTGCAAAACTTCGATGTATTTAGCTGCTTTCTAATATTTATTTCATTAATCTTCCGCAACTACCCACCTGTGTTTCTGTGAGACTGAGACTCAGCGCCAAATTTAGTCGCTCGCAAACGCTCAAGTACCGTGTAGTCTTGAATTTATTCTCCAGCGATACCAACTGTTCATAGGTAAAAGCGGTACGCGCGCGCCGCGGCTTTGAGCCGCCACCACTGCCGCCTTGAGATTTGCCATCGCCATTTCGACTGCCACCCTTCTTCGAATCCGTTTCGCTGGCATGGTCATCAATGTCGCTGCTCATGCCATCATCGCACATGTCATCCTGGTCCATGTCATTGAGGTCGTGGGCTGTAAAAAAAGGAGAAATAGAAAGAAAATGAGGACGAGAAACTTCTAAGAGATATGTTAGAAAAAAGGGGATATGAAGTGCGAGTATATGGCTGAAGAACTTAAAAAATAAAATAACTGGAAAAACTGAAAATAGAAAGCCCAAAATCGTTGCAAATCGTATAAACGAAACAATTAACATTTTGAATGGCATTCAGCATTTGGAAACCATCAATCATTCACGCCATCTACAAACATACGCGCATACATATGCATGTACATACATACATACTTCACTTTGGTCGCGTATTATCCTTGCTACTAACTTGGTGACGCTGCATTTGATGAAGGTAAAATGCCGTAATCCGAAATGGTCATTTGATGAAATCAATCACCGACGCGCCAAGCTCAAAGACAACAATAACATAAAAGTGTTTTCTCCGACAGACAGCAAAATCAAAAACAAAAATCAAGAAAACAAGAAAACAATCGCACTGATAGCAAAACAAGCAAATGTAAGAGATACATACAGCTACAGCATTACAGAATTAATTGGAAAAACCAATACAAACAAATACAAATGTGCAAGCACACAAACTCCTTTACGAAATGCTAACACAAGAGTGTGTGCGAAAGTTTTTACATAGATAGCACATACAATAGACACCCGCATATGTGCTATAGAGCGTATATTCCGCTATCAATCGCCACATACATATGTATGTATGTAAGAACGGCCACCCATGTTTGTCAATGTGTAGCCGTGTGTGCGTTAAAGTGCGCATCCATAACAGTTACTTTTCGAGATCATTCGCAATACCAGAATGTGCCAATCAAAATTCAATTAAAACGCTTTTACTATGCCATACACCTCGAATGTATGTATGCATGTGGGTTGGTGTGTGAGTGGGTGTTGCTCATTCATTGCTCATCCAGTGCATCTGGCCACTTCCGTTTGGGCGTCTTTCAATTAATCGGAAATCATCGATGCTTTCGTAACGAAAATTCCTGTCGATCAGGGTTGTTGTTAACTGCTTGCTTTACGCATAATGAACACTCACATATATGTTGAGTGCATACATATACATATACATATGTGTATGCGTAGTTGTATGCCACGATATATGTACATATATAACAAATGTAACGATTTCTTGCTTTGCAGAATACCTATTATGCATTGTGACTGCATTGCGTATTGTTTACAAATAAAATTAATAACTTGATTGCAATTAAGTAGATGTACTAAGTAAATATGTATGCAAGTATGTATGTATGTGTGTATAAGTAGACATGTTGATAATTAATTTCTTTAATTATTGATAAGCAATAATCAGCAAATAGATTCACATAATATTAGAAATTTAGATAATGTATTCGAGGACGAAACTTATACCTACATACGTATGTTCATTAGGGTAGTTCACAATATTTATATTATCTTCGAGCTCTTATTTTCTCTGCCCATAAGGAGTTCGCGTCCGCCAAAGAGAGGTTTTTGTTTGGTTTGGTTATACAAAGAGCTTCTAATGTTCGTTGATAAGAAGGTCGCGCTCGCGCAAGAGAGGCTTTTGTTCCAATTTTATAAAAAAAAAAACTATCCTGTCAGAGAGTCCTCTCCGGAGAGACTAATTTCTTCCGTCAAATATACTTAACACAAAGGAAGTGTACGTCTATTAGAGATGTCCGTTAAAAGAGATTACACTGTATTGTAGATGGCGAAATAAAATCTCTCTTAGAATTGCTATAAAATCCTTAAAACCCAATATTTTTATGAAATAAGAATATTTCGCTTTAGAGCTCCTTAAACATAAAATAATGATGCATGTCAAAATTAAAATTTTTATCAACGAATATTTCAAAACTGCTATTCTCATAAACATAATCGTTTGTAGGCAACGTTAATCCGGACTTACGCCCTGCAAAATTAGTTTAAAGTTTGTTTTTAGATCTTTCAATTATTAGATGATTAATACTTAATGAAATTATAGTTGTGATTCTTTTTAAAAAAAATATACCATACAAAATTTAATTAACTTGAAATAATTAGGTGAAATACCGCAAAAATAAACTTAAATTAAAAAGTTAAAAATTTAATCAGAGAAGCAAATAAAAAAATAGTATTTATTTTTAGGAATTACTCGGTGTGGGGAGCGAACCTGGGTCTTACAGAGCTGTAGTACTTTCACGGTCGCGGATGCCACACTTGTTCTATTTATTTTCTTGTACGGCCTGCAAATTTGTTTTGATTTTTTTAGATCCTTCTTTTAATAAGACACTTATTTTTTTAATGCAATTATAGTTGAAGTCTTTAAAAAATGGGCCAGAAAAAAATTTAATTGACATGAAATACCATAAAAAATAAAATAAAAAATATAATCAAAAGAATAATTAAAAACAAAAATAAAAATAATTTATAGAAATTGTTCAGAGTGGGAATCGAATCTGTCTAGGGGGCGGCAGCAGGAAAATTCCTAAAAGTTGATTTTCCAGTGCATTTTTGTTCTACCCTTATATATGTATGTTTGTACACATGTACATACATACGTGTATTCATAATATTAATTACTTGTCCTAATTATTTGCGATTAATATGAATCGGTTATGATGATGGAAGGCTATATGAAGACCATATGAAACTTTATTACGTTGTACATGTCATGAAATTGCTAAAGTTAATTAGTTTTAGCAATTTCTGATTGCTTATAACTGATTTTATAAGTGTGGTTGTAAATGGGTTTAACTTACTGGTTACGATAAGCCAGCGGGTTAAATGGTAAATGTTTTGTCCCCATATGTGCATTGGGTATTTGATTTTCATTTTTATTTTTAATAAATATGCCTAAATATGAGGAGAGGATGAGGAATGTAGGAAAACCAACAAAAATAACGTTTTTGTTAAAATTTGGCACAAAAACAACTCGGAGTAAAAACATTTCGCCACGTAAAGGTGACAAGTTGACAAGTCCATTTTTTTTTTAAATGTAGTTTTTGATGCAGAACGGCAGGTAATACGAAACAACATCGATTTTTTGTCTCTCCTGAATAATTCCAAAAAAACCGAGCAAAAAGAAAATAGGAGGCAAGCCTATTCAAAAATATTCCGAATTGGGAATTTTTTCTGGAACTTTCCATTTGAAACCCATTTTATGCAGTGTTATTTAATCTGTATAATCTGGCAACACTGCTCAGGGAGTGCGCGAAGTTTATATGTATATTAATATCACATCCGTGCTATGAACTATGTAGCTATATGCAGAAAAAAAAATTTAGTAGAATGCGTTTCCTACTGCTACACTTAACCGTGAAAACGGCAGAAAAGTTGAGAAATCATATTGACAGCATTAGCGGTAAAAATGAATTTCTTCATTTTGGCTAATTATAAGTCAGCTTTTATTGCGCCTAACCGAAGATTAGATAAAGTTTCTTTCTATGCGAGAGTGATGCGGGAATCTACGTCGGGTTAATGCCTTCTTTAGTTTTTACCTGACTTACTTAACTCCCTGTATTACATTTAAGTCTTAATTACACCATAGTGATTAATGTGTTAAAAAAATACTCCAAAGGCATGTAAAATGTAAACCTTCGTAAAACCGCCGCTAATCCACCTTAAAAGTGCGACCACTCCTTTATCTTACCACTTTTTTTTGCCCGCCTTGCCAGGAGTAAAAAAAAAATGCAAAATTTGTGTTCGAAAACTTTTCGTGTTAACAAATTAACTACACGACAAAACAATTTAAACCGCCAAAACAAACTGACAATCTGGTATGAAACGCCCAAAGGCGTCGCACAACCCTTTACTGCTAACTACCAAACAACCACAGCAGACAATTTTCTCGGCTACCAACTAAGCCACTTTGTGTGTGAGTGCATTCAAGCATACGCAGCAGGAGGACGGCAGTGGCAGACGGGCGCGCAAATTATACGCCGAAAATTGGATTGACTCAAATCAGCTCATTCGTGGCAAATCGAAAAAGGATGCGCTGAAGCTGAGCGTTGGAAAAGTGGCACGGCCGGTAAAAGGAGAGAAGTGGAAAAGACGAAGCTAAACTGTCAACCCTAATCAAAGTGTGACCAAATAGGTTGCTTAAAGATTAATAGACTTCATACACGTAAGCGGCAAAGTGACAATTTCGTGAGGTGCGAGTTTGTGCCTATAAAGCTGTCGGTCTATCTGGTGGACACCTTTGTGCTTTATTTTTCTATTTCTACTTAGTACATAATTAGGTATGTATGTGCATAAACTTTCCACTTACTTACACCTTTACTTTCGAAAAAGCATGGCCGAAAAAAACCTTGCGCTCTCACACTTGCCACCTCCTGACGTTGGCACTCGTTTTTCAATCTAAAATGCATGAACAAATCTGGTAATTGGCCAACATCATTGGCCATGTTTGCATGTAATTAGGTTAGGTGTTAGTGTGGGTATCAGCTGCAGCGCCTAAAAGTAGATAAACACTCACGTACCAACACACACACACACACACACACACACACACACACGCGCCAGCAAACACCACCGATGAGTTTACTTTACATTAGTGTGCAGTGAAAGCAAAGCAAATTACAGCGCTTTTCACCTATGTAGTACTTCAGCTTTCACCGCGCTGTTCGTGCGGCTATGCAAAATACAACAGACAACAGGCGAAAATATGCGCGTACGTGCAAACATGGCGGCTGGAGTGCATGCTGTAATAATAACAACAACCTGCTACAGCATCATGATATGCAACTCTGCTTGTATACATCTGTATGTATGCAAGGGGTACACATACATACAAACATAACATCGCGGTAATTAATCAGAAAATTAACATCGACGCTTCATTTAATATTTAAGGTTTGCTGACGGACACAACGGTGACCACAGCATCAACAACAACAACAACAAGCGTACACTATATAGTATCTACTGTACATTAGTGGGGCGGCGGGAAGAAAGCTTAGCAGTGGCCACATATCCTTCTCCTTACTGGTCCCTTTCATTAGAGTTTATCGGCTATGGCGAATAAGCGCACGCT